AGGAATGCAGGCAAAATTTGGTGTGCAAGTTAAACCCTAGGCTTGCAATGTGTCACAATGGCCACAAAGCATGTTAAAACCATTAACAAAAATAATTTTTTTAAAAAGTGCAAGATTGCTTACTGCTAATAATAATATGAAAGGAACTTCACGGGAAGGTCTTCCTACTCCTGGAAAAAGGGTGAGTATTAAAGAGAGCCTGAAGACAAGTACAAAGAATTTCGATTTCTACTTCAGCTGGCACACAGAGAAGTCAAAAGCATAAAATACAGAAAAAATTAGTGTCTTGCATGCTTGTTATCTACCCAAGAGAAAAAAGATCCCTCATTTGATTATTTGTACTTTGAGATATAAAAACTAAATATTTTGTCACTGAGGCTGTTAAATAGACTAAATACTATTCAAAATATCATATACATTCATGTTACATTCAGTAACATGTTTCAAGGTAATTCTTCTCTATTTTAAGGAGTAGGTATGATACACATCTCATACCTAGTGAGAAACAGGCAGGTAATGAATTTCTGCAGAAACCAAAGTATACTTTAAAATTATATAAGGTGAACATGTTTATGTATGCCATGTACTATAATTTATAGAAACATCTTTGATCAAGAAAAACTTGAGTATTGGGCACAACAGTGAAGAGAGGTAAGGAAAAGTTTCCAAAGACATAAATTACTATAAAGGATGAAAATTACTACCCACATTACCAATCAGCCTAGAAGAAATTCAGTCTAATAGTGGCAGATTTACAAATAATAAGATATGTGCATGTGACAAGCATATAATACTTAAGTCAGAGAAGGATCAGAGCTTCTTTGAATAAAGTCAATGTCAAGTGCCTTTTGACTTTAATGGTTCTGGCTCAGGCTCATAATGTTTTACATTTAATTACTGCAACTATTTCAGAAATGTCTGCACAATTTTGTAACGTGTTGAAGCATATGCTTAAAAGCTCTGATGAATCAGAGTCCAAACTCAAAAATAACTACTTAGTCCTCACAATCACTCCCACAAAATAGGGAACAAATTATCTCCACATGATAAAAAGATAAACCAGACAAGTACTATATCCACTTCTAGCATTTACAGCAGCACAACATGTAGCTGAATAAGAACCACCTAAGTCTGAAAACATCCTCCGAGTGACTCAACTAAACTTAGAGAGTTTCAACACCTTTCATAATCAGATCATAAATGACTTTTCCAAGGCCACACAGGAGTTTGTGGGTCACTGCTAGTCACTCTTGTCTCCGAAGGCCAGAAAAATGTGGGTTTAGTAACTGAAATTTTCTCTAGCAACATCTGTTAACACAGCTCATGTTATTTAAAGATGACCGGCTTTACCTCAACGAACAAAATGTATCCTGTGACACTTTCTTCAAAAAGGGTGAATTTCTAAAACTATTTGGTTTGGCTTTATGCTTCTTTTTTCATGTGAGCTTGCTTTGATCCATAGATATAAAGCTTCTAATAAAGCTGAGTATCTTTTTCATGTAAATACAGCACACACACATACATTCAACTTCAAATCCTAAGAACAGACTAAAACTCCAAAGTTAAAACTCAAAAAAGGGCACCACAGGTCCCAGAGGGAGCAGTGAGGTCTGGACACGGCATCAGCCACCAGGAATTCTGGAGATTGGATCCCAGCGTTTCCACTGACACTACCTTTAGGGGCTTTCTATCTGCTTCCCTCATCTGCCTTTATCACACCTACCTTCCAGACACACTTTTTAGGGGATTATTACTCCATGTTTGCAGAGTATCCTGCATACTAAAGGCACCGCTTAGCACCAAAAATTACTTGTTCTTTGGCATCACAACATTTCATTTTTCCAGCACAAATATCTGAGCCCAAAGTAGAGCAATCAGTTTTCATGTCCTGATTTATTTCTATTATTAATGACCCAAAAGTGTGTTTTAGATATTAAGGAAGGAGCAGATCAGACGAGTGATCACGCATGACGATCCATAACTGGAAAAGCCAATGAACACAGAGGAGGAACTAATGCCCCTAAAAATGCCTCATTTCAATATTTTTCAACTACATTAATAAAAGACAGAAGGTGAATTTAGTGCAAGTCATTAAGCAATGCCAAATGCAATTTACTAAATTCTAGCATACTTAACAAATAAGATTTCTGGAATGACAGCTGATCCTTAAAAGAATGTAACCGTCTTCTGACCCTCAATGTTATTAAAATTCCACTTATTAATCCTGTCTTATTGCCCCTTTGTTTTCATAACATTTTCATCACGGATTAGGGAGATATTGTGAGGCTGGAAAAGCTTACATTTTCTTCTGTGATTCAGAACAGCTGCCATTCTTGTTTGGATAACCCTTCATCCATGTTCTTAGTTTTACCCTTTGTGACTTCCAGCCAAATCATACAATGCACCTTCATTTTACAAGTTTTCCTTCATCCATTAGCAGCAGGAAATTAATGCAACAATCTAATTCTACTGCTATTTACTCTTTTACAACTAGAATACATTAGGTAGCAAGGCATTGCAATGATCTACTCTTTTGAGTGCAATTGTACCTGAAGATCTTTACAATTCCTCATAAAGATACACGTATAAAGGTTTTCAGCATGATCAATTCCACAACCTCTAATCCCTGTTTTCTTTACCGTTACTTTCATTTTCATAGAAGTACATGAAGAGCAAGACATGCTGCAGAATTAAGTGTAAAAGCATCTGTTGGTTTCAAATGGGCTCTTACTTCATGCTGTAGGATTTTGCTCATATTCAGCTAAAAAAAAATCCCTCGGAATAAGCTATTATGTGTGGCCTTGAGAACTATTCTAGTTAAATGTCTCAGATTCTCAACTCTAAAAGCTTTTACAAAAGACAGGTGGACAGGTCCAAGAGAAGAGCTGCGACATTATAAAAAACAAACAAAACAACCAGAAATATAAATGAGGATGGAAAAAACTACCTTTTTATACAATCACTAAAACAGTGCTCAAAATGCAGAACTCAATTCCTGAGCATAAGATGAAATAAACTAACAAAGCGAAGAAGCAGCTGACAGGTGCATATCAACTGGCAGGTGTCATTGCTGTTTTATTAAGGTATTGCTGACATTCATAACAGGCTCAAGAGACAAGAAAAATAAGAAATTTCATATACTTCACACCATTTGTGGTAATTATCTAGCTTCAAGAAGTGGCAGTGTACAGGGGTGGGCTTTTATTTTGCTATTACTATAGATAATTACAGGACTTGCAAATTAAATCTTAGATATCCATTAATTGTACTAACTAAGCAATAAACAGTATTTCTTTGCCAGAAACCTAAGCAAGTCAATAATGGAGCTCAATGCATTTTTCTTGCATTAAAATGTGTAAAACCAGTTACGAGAGTCAACGTAAGATTCACGGAAAGTATTTTTACTATAAACATACACAGTTACTTTCTGCAGTTTTAAATGTGGAACTACTACAGTGCACTGCATTTGCTTGATAGTTATAAGTCATGTAATGATACAAAAGGTATTTATATAATAAAGGAATCTTAACTAGTTCTTGCTGCACAAGCATTAGAACTAGAGCAAAACAAGAGCTGCCTTAACCTCCAAGCAGATTTTATAATTACTGTACATTATTAGGAAAATCTAGAAAGTATGCAGAAGTATTGAAAGGCTTCTACATGTATACAGAAATCTAAAATTAAAATCTTTGTTTCACAGACTTAGAAATATTTTCAGTGAAGTTTATAAATTAAAATTTCAAATTGGAATTATTCTTTCATTTTTCATAAACTCAGGTATTTAAATCCTGTGAAATTGCCTTTTTTTTTTTTTTTTTTTTCTTTACAAAAACGAGCTCAGTTGGCAACTAGATTAGTTTTAAATCATCAAATTAACACAGCCATATACTGATTTGGTCTTAATAACAACTAGTAATAGTTCCACAAATGTGTTTTGACAGAGCATAAAACTGCAACCAGAAGTAGAAGCTCTAAGAAATTAACTGCAAAGACTTCCTGAAAAAATTACCAGTTTGAAAATAGTGAAATATAAATGTGATGAGAAAATAATAAAAAAATATTAGCAGGAGCCAAAAACTAAACTAAAGAAAAACACATAACTGCAGTCATCTCTTTTTCCCTTCCACTAAGCCATGCTCTTACCAGTCTGTTGACTCATTAATTGCAGCTTTAGCCCATCCACCAGCATCAACAGTGCCAAACCCAACATCATCGTGGGAACTGGATGACGACTGGTCAGAGAGATGAGGAGGGAGCACGGACAGCCTGTCATCCTCAATAATGACAGTGTCGTCTTGGGGCATGTTCACCGTTGGAGACAGCTGATATTTACCTGAACAGTAAAAGTGAGAAAAAATCCAAAAACTAAATAATGGCAGGGAGTGCCTTGAATAATATATAATCACATCTGATAAAACATCATGTCAAACTGCAAACTAAACTAAAGAAAAACACATAACTGCAGTCATCTCTTTTTCCCTTCCACTAAGCCATGCTCTTACCAGTCTGTTGACTCATTAATTGCAGCTTTAGCCCATCCACCAGCATCAACAGTGCCAAACCCAACATCATCGTGGGAACTGGATGACGACTGGTCAGAGAGATGAGGAGGGAGCACGGACAGCCTGTCATCCTCAATAATGACAGTGTCGTCTTGGGGCATGTTCACCGTTGGAGACAGCTGATATTTACCTGAACAGTAAAAGTGAGAAAAAATCCAAAAACTAAATAATGGCAGGGAGTGCCTTGAATAATACATAATCACATCTGATAAAACATCATGTCAAACTGCAATGCTGCTAATAAGAGTGACACAACACAGGTAGTAAAATTAACTGTATCTCACTTTTTACGGATATTCTTATGCTGAGGTCTGAAAGAGGTCTCCTGGCCCTATGCAAGGACAGGAGTTGGACTCAATGATCCTGATGGGTTCCTTCCAACTAAGTATATTCTATGATTCTATGATTCTAATGTAATTCATACCAGTTGTACCTTCAGTCTACTGCAAGACCACAAATCATAGAAGGGTTGACATTCAAAGGGACCTCTCACCTGGACAATCCCCCTGCTCAAGCAGGGGCACCTACAGCCAGTTGTCCAGGAACCTGACCAAATGGGTTTTGAATATTTCTACTCCTCCACATCTCTGGACAATCTGTGCTACCATTCGGTCACCTTCACAGTGAAAAAGTGTTTCCTAATGTTCAGAGGAAGCCCCCAGTGTTTCCATTTGTTCCCAATGTCTCAGATCCTGTCTGTAGGAACCACTGAAAAGCAGCTGTCCCAGAAGAAAGTATCTTCTCTTGCATCTAATCGTTTAGCAGAAAATGAGTTCAGTGGGGACAAATGGAGTTCATTGATTTGCCTGGTCATCTTGCCCTCATGAAATTTGGAACTTGTTTGAGTGCTACTGGGACCTTGGAATCCCTAATACTGCCTCCACAAAGGTAAGAATTATGAAAGGTGATGAGCATTCATGGCTAAACCTAAATTATTCTGAATTTTCATTCTCTTCTTTAAAAAATAATCTGGAGGCACATATGCAAAATTTAGGAAAAAAAATACCTAATTCTATAACCACCAAATTCAAGTAAGTTTTAACACTTTAGTTAAAATACTTAAACTAGAGCCATTACATACATGAATAAGACATAATAGACTCAACATTATACAGAAGCAAACTTCATAGGGTTAATTTGGGAGAGTAGCAGTTTAAGGATGGTATTTAGAGAATTCTTGCAAACCACTAAAACACTCTTCTCCAAGTAAAAACCAGTTTTAATGTGCAGATAAATATTGTAAACCCACAGCCACTGCTGCTTTTACAGGAATAAATAAATACATGTAATTATATTTTCCAGTAATCATTTCAATGCATAAGATTGTATAACAATTTTCAAGCTGCTGTATAAAAAGCAGAAGCAATTTTTAAACCTATAAAAAAATGTATGCCACCGAAACAGAGTAAGAAGCTACAAAGAATATCAGAGGGAATATATTCATTGCAACACTTTGTAACACAACTATGGCTTTAACTGAAAAAAATCTCATTTTCGGGATGCATGAATAAGATATGGAGTTGCTAGGACAGGAATTACATAATATTGTTGGGACAACAGTAGAAAAATAGTATTATCACCATGTAAGATTTTAACTTGAAATAAACAAAGGTTTTTTCAGTATCTAGAATCACTAAGCTACAACTTGCTCTAAGAAAAATGAAGATTTGCACATTTGGATGAAAATTATTCAGTTATCTGAGGCAATAGCTAATTATTAAGTGTGATTCTTTCATATCAGCTACACATAACTTTTTGTGTGATAGAGTATCTTTTAAAATATTTTTTCCTCCTGGATACTGATACTCAACTTAAAAAGATATGTCATTTAAAATGTTTGCTCCTAGCTTTTACTGCACACGACATGACTTCTATTGAATGATCATAACATTACATGAATTTTATTCCTGAAAATGCTTTACCTTACTAAAACAATTAGTAAAATTGTCACATCACGTGAGAAGGAAAACACTAGCTTAATCAATTGTTAATCTGGTAACACTGTAAATTATTCTAAAACTATTATGTACCTCAGTAATAATATATAGGAAAACTTGTATTTCAATAACATAAACTGTTTCTATGGACACTTCAAATATTTTCACTTTATTTTTCCTACGGATATGAATAAAAACGGTGCAAAATTAGGGCAAAATAATTTTTTCTTCTTTTTGGAAAAGTTTCAGTTACTGTAACTACCTTCACATGCAATTACTAAAAACCAAACAAAGAAATAAACACTTATTCATGAAGAGCTAGCTAAAGTCATTGCTGCACTAGATAGTACTTTTTGTATAGCTTTCTAATGGGAGAGGGAACTGGCTTCAAAAGAGATCATCAAAGAAGGCTGAAGAAGCAGCTAGATGAAAAAGGTACCGCATGGTGAACACCTTATCACTGTCAAACTAAAATTAATCTGTTCAGTTTGCATAACAGCTGATTCTTTGCCCAGCAATAGCTTCTTTGATGGACAGCTTAATGTTTAGCCTGGTAATGTACTTCTCTCCAAACATAATGCCTACAAGACTGTTAACTCTGTAGTTAATAACGTCTCCAAAGAATTGATTGTGAAAAGGTATAACCTTATGGCATTCAGCAGATTGAACTTCCCATTTGAGAGGCTACAGTAATTCAGTAACATTTTTAACTTTTCACTACCCTTCTTTATATCTGACAAGGGTGACGACTGACATTTTAATAGTTGCTTTGGAATTAAGGAGAAAATTCATCTGACATGCCTAGGCTTTTCACTGCAGATGAAGCTGAAAACAGGTGAAAGGCTTCACCTCGAGCAGATAGTTAGATAGACCTCAGCAATGGACTCATCCTTTGTAAAGAGCTCAGCTGAAATGGACAGAAAATACCCTTGGAGAAAGCAATTCTCTAAGTGTTGTGAGAAACATTACAAGGAAACATCAAAGAAACTTCAAACCTAGTAATCATCAGTATATTTGACTGATCTACAAATCTAAGGCACTGCTCGAGCTGTCTACAAACCTCTCTGAGACAGTAATTTTCCCTTGGGCCAGAAAAGTGCTACAAAATTTAGACTCTAAATACACTTCAAGTCCAGTTTTGCATATATTAATTTAACTTCAGCAAGGTAATCTTTAATAATATGTAGTATTTTGGACAGTGTAATAAGGAAGGGAAAACATTCTCCCTTTCAAGTGTGTCTCATCTTAGGACAATGAGGCTCAAATTCCTTGAACAAGTTACCAATCTAAACAAGTGTAACCTGAGGGCAATACCAAACTACAGGGTAAGAAGAGTTCCCATCTGTCTCTGCAGAAAAAGAAGTCTTGGAGCTCCAGTACCAAATGGCTGGTCTCCAGGTCTATGAACACTTTCAGCTTAGAAGGAAAGATGCCGAACAGCAACACTTCAAACCGCTAACAGTATAGACCTATAATAAACCAGAAAATAGTTTGGACCTGAATTAAACCACCAACATTAACTTCTAGAAAAAAACCCAACCAAACAAACAGAACAACACAACAAACCCTGAGTATATACAGTACATAAATTAACAACAAGCTTCCTCATGAAGAACACAAGTACTCTGGGTCCTTTTAAATCTGGAAGATCTCTGAAGTTTGGTTTATATATTTGCTGTAATAACTTGGCTCCCGTAATTACACTGCATTCCCATGGTACTGTATCTGGCTTGGTTCTTTCGTCTACTTTTGTTATTGCTTTCTCTTAAAGGAAGGTGTCAGAAATCTGATGAACACCCTTATGATAAGTTCAAAACCAAGTGTTACTTTATGAGACTCTTATAAGCATTTTGATATTGTGGGATTCAAAGTCATGGAACAGTTCAAACCTCTTTCACAAGTAAAGGGCCTTTCTCACTCTGACATGACAAGTGATTCCTCTCCTGCCTGACAAAGAAATCAGCAACAGCTACTCCATGATGAATAATAAATTATTAACCAAAACAATAAAAAGAGTAAGAAATAAGAGAAATAATAATAGAAAAAAATTGTGTTGATGATGATAATAATAGTGGTGAGACTTCCAACAGGAGGGATACAGAAAATTGTGCAATGAGAAAAAAGAATTTCTCCAGATCTTCATATATTTATTTTTCACTTATAGCATAACTGTCCCCAGCAATATTCGGAGTTTTGGCAAAAATTCTCAGAGATAATCACAACAGCCAATTTCTCAAGCTAAATAGAGGTGAGACTGGGAATACATGTGTGGGGAACAGCTAAGGGCAAAAATATCTTCACTATATCCAGGCTTTGGATCTCCAGAGAGTGCTCAGATCTGTCAAGACTATTGTAGCAGACCACCAGGTTCTGATGAGATTCCTGGCCAGGAAGCTGCATTCTGCTTGTAAAGGGTTGTTTTCATTTCATTGACACATACACTATATTTCTAGCTAAATTTTTTTCAGTAGTGCTTCCTCCTGATTCTATCCTTAAAATAGCAATTATTTCTGTATAGAAGAAAGTATTCCCTGTTGTGCAGGAACTACGTAATTTTACAAACTTCTGGCAGATCCTACAGGATGAAAAGCAGATTCAGTGCAAGTTACTGCTATTCTGTGTACCCCCTGATAAATAACTTCTGTTTAGACACCGTTAGCAATAAAACCCACCGTGTTCATAAAAAAAATATCAGCAACTAGAAGAAAGAGATGAAAGAGGACTTTGTACTAAGCTTTTTGTTGAATAAGAATAACTTAAATAGGCAGCAGCTATGTATTTGTGTATTGCAAAACTCAGGAGCATAATGGGTGATATATAAGAACAGTGCATCAGAAGAAGAGACTTGAATTTTTAATCATAGAGCCAAGCAAACCAGCATAACACAGCTGTCATTTTGAATGTACTAACAACATGCAACCTGAAAATATTACAAATAAATAAATAAACAGAAAGGTTTATTATAGCCATCTAATTTCTTAGAAGACTCAACTTGTATAAATAAAAAACCTCCTGGTCAAAACAAAAATATAATTCTCTGAATACAGAAAGATGTATCTCCTCTCCATGAGAAAGTTTCAGTGAAATATTATCAAGTGAAAAATCATAAGAAAATCCAAAATAGCAATAAACATTGAGAAAAGTAGATCAACATAAGAATCATCAGAAACATTACAAGATTTGTGTAGCCTTTTTGTAGTAAGCAAACATTATTTCACATAATTTAAATAATTTTCTAAAATTGGTGTTTTATTCTCACTCTCAAAGCAAGGCCCTGACAATCAGTTCTTGCTGTCAGTTATGGATTGAAAAAGTAAGGAAATTGTCTTAAATACCTTCCCTGAAAATTATGTTAGATGTATTTAAAAGAAATAAAGCTGTCTTTAAAGTTTTTTTCCAACTCTAAGCAATGACTGAAAAGAACTGGCATTTTCCAGACCTTGAGACTATCACCTTTGAATCAATTAACTTAGGAAGCAAAAAAAATCAAAACTCAAATCTGTCTATTTAATCCAATAGCAAAAGAAACAGAAAGACCTACTCCCTCACACACAACATCAAACTGTGACCTCCTCACCACAAGGTACCAAGAGTACTAAAAGTTTACATAATTTAATTCATTGAGAGGTAAATAAAAAGACATCAGGTGATTCAGAGAACCCATAAATCAGAGGGCCTCCTAATATGGGGAGAGCACTCAAGGAAATCCATACTGCATAAAGCACTCCTCTTGGCTTGTTCTCATGGTCAGGACTGGCATGGGAAGGCACAAACTTCCAGTATTGCTTAGCAAGATTGTTCCTAGGACTAATCCTCATCTTTAGGTCAATTTTCAAGAGAGCAGAAATACTCTGCAAAAATCACAGAGCACCACATGTACATTATCAAGAAAATAAATAAATTTTTTAAATCTGGGGTTTTTTTCTCTTATCAATGCTAATTGGACAGGAATTCATTCCACTGCATAATAAATGATTGGGTCTTAGAAACCTTATCTACTCTAAAATAAGCAACTGTACCTGTCTCTCCCAACAAGAAATAATACCTCTGTGGTTCATGGCACTGCAAGAAAAGATGCAATATCACAGAAGATTAAAAATGCTGCAGTTTTAACTTAGTAGTACCAATTGATTCAGAAAAATTAGCCTATTAGAAAACTGCCTGCTACCTAAGAACTGGGTTTAAACACACTAGCTCTGTGAAGCTGCTATAATAGTAGAAGGGAATGACCCAGTCCTGGCAATACCAGTTTTCAGAAATGTTGGACTAGAACACATGTCCTCTGAGGTTCAGACACAATTTGATTTCCCATGTGCTTCCAAACTAAAGCATCAATGGAATTATGTCACAATTAACCAATTTTCTACATATTTCCTGGTTTATGAAAACAACACAGAAAATCTTCAGGTTATAAAAGACTCACAATATGCAGGATGGATCTATTTTCCCTCCCTACGTCTACATTGCAGATGTATCCAAAAGTATTAGATTTCAAGAGCTTTGGAAAGATTTCTTTTGGTTTTTGGAAACATCAGTCACTGGCTACTGCGAAAAGGATGATACCAGTCTGATGAACTAGTTTGATCTGGCATGGCAAATCCAGTGCTCCTTTGATGTGGAAGTAAACTGCATTGCTGACACACACATAGACTTTCTCAGGGTTTCTTCTCCCATCACTGGACAAGGTGTTTAAGCAATAACTCGTTAACGCTTACATGAGCTCAATGTGTAAATTCTCTGCAATACTGATGGGAAAAGCAGAACACAAGGCTTTGAAATTATTTTACGTAACACTTTGACACCACAAAAATTAGTCCCTTCTACAGGAGAGGAATGTTAAATACTTCAAATTATTTTATCACTCTTTAAATCTGTCAATAAATAAACAGGGTTTTTTAAATAGTTTTCTTTCGGAGCATATGAGTTCAGGTGAAGAGGCTGCATGCCTCCTTGATTCTCTAGAATACAATTTTATTTCTGAGGTGCACAAAATGGATTGGAATAGAACAGGATATTTTTTATTCCCAAGTAATCTTGCCAAAATGCACCAAAAAAAAAAAAAAAAAAAAAAAAAAAAGGGGACAATTTATATAATCGATGGTATATCTTAAATATCAAATTTGTGGATTTTCAGGGAGTTTAACACAGGTTTTATTTCTACCACCACAAAAAAAACCCGAACCAAACCCAATAAAAATACCCAAGAAATAACAAACAAAAAAGCCCCATCATAACAAAAACCATTTCAACATAACAAACAAATTCAACAATTAAAAAGAAAAAAAAACCAAAAAACAAAACAAACAAAAAACCCCAAAACTGAGTGAAATATATACAAACTATTGATTAGAAAAAGCCTAAGTGGTAGACTTCGATTTTCTAAGGCTGAAAATCGATCTTAAGGTATTAAAATTAAGTTCAGCCTTGCTTCATATCAAGTTTATAGCAGCATCTTTTAATAAGTTCTCTGTGTTTCAAGCACACTAAAAAAAGTCCCTGATTTAATGGCCACATATTATGTTTAAAACTTACAATTCAAGCAAGCAATCGTTGTGTTTTCTGTCAGGAGCTTTTTTTCACCAAGCTGCTTTTTGTATTTAAATTTGAAAATCCTTTCAAACTAATTCCGTCCTAGTCAGTAAGGATGGCATCTGACCACTCCTGTGGCAAGAGAAGTCTTTATTACCTAGCTCTGCACACTGGAAGCTGAATTGCTGCAGAGCAACCGCTAATAACCTCATTATCCACTGCGGCCATGCAGATGGCATGGCACAGAATCTATATAAGGGATGCTTAAAATTAGTTACGAGGTTTTAAAATTGGTGTCCTGCAAAGCAAAAATTCAAACAAATCCATGAAATGACCTAATAAGCATAAATTAATGCAAATTTGCTTTATTTATTGTTGTACTTTAATATGACCGAAACAGAGAAGAAATGCTGAAATTAATTATGAATTACCATGAGCTGCTGACTTCCATGTGAATGAAGACTCAACGTGGAGTCTAGACCAACCAGTAATTTATGTTCCAGATTAGACACTGAAAAGCTATGTTAAATGCTATTGTTATTTGTTCTGTTACCTGCCATGGGATATGAAATTCACTTTATAATTTCATTTATTGACTTTCTTTCTCAAATTAACTATCCAGAAGGTTTACATGGAACAATTTCAAGGCACATTTTAATTTGGTCGGTGTAACCTCCTTGTTCCTCACTTCCCACATGTGTAATACATTAATCACCCTTCGATGAATCACAGAGGGGAGTAAGAACACATTCCGATTAGCAGACCTGATCTGACTCACCCATTATCCTACTGAGCGCCGCATTCCTCGTGGGTGACTCGCTGAGCCCCTCGATCCCACCATAGAGAGAGTGAGAAATCCTCCGTTCCCGGTCATCCATCAGAGTCTCTATAGGCAGCTCTGGCCCAGAGGGGCTCCCAGGTGACTCCAACTGCACACAGAGAGGAAAATTATCACCCAGGGTCTTTTTAGCAGCATGGGAGAACTGTAACAACTTGCCTACGGCCTAGACCTGTCTGGACACACAATAAGCTAGAACTTATCACCCTAGACAAATATAATTTGCAATGACAGCTCTGCTTAATGACCAACTTTCTAAGCCACTTTACACTGCACCTCCCATGGAGCCCTGTCAAATTTCAAGTCCTTCAGGAGAAAATTGGTGAAAAAAAACATTGCATTTTGGTGTCTCTTTGTTGGATAATTTCTGAAACAGACAGTTTTGGCCTTTTTCAACACTATCAAGCAGACAGCTGGGCCATCATTTTGACTCTGACAGCCTGTCAGAGCAAGGCTCCTGTCAGGAGCACAGGGCAGGAACTCCATTTGGAATTGGGTTGCTGGCACTTTTTGAAGAGGTGCAATTTACTTTCAAATGTAATAATCACAGAAACCCCCACAAAACCCGACCACACATATTAGTAACCAATACGTAAATACTCAGATGTTTTGTAATTAGGAGGGAAATGAAAAAAAGAAGTCCAGCTTCACATAAATTTGGTTTATTTTACTCTACTTATGATGACTTCTTTGTTCTACCTTTTCTGGCTACAGAATACAGAGGCCTCATGTGCTTTGGTCAATCTGGAAGGCTCCGTGATCCCTGCAACTACTGCAGCAGCCAGGCAGAGCCACAAAAAACAGAACTGGCAAGGTGTCTCCCCACCCCAGCCTTCACTCCCCCAAGCTCCTGGTCCCTTCCCACCACAGCTCCAGGCAGAACTCCCCAGGGCATTAAGAGAGAAATTACACAGGGAGAGGAAGAAGCAATGGAGACAGGCTGCTTGGCAACATGGGAAAAGGCTGCATGTATGGTCATGTCCCTAACCCAGCTGCCTTCCATCAGAAGTGACTGAGTGACTTCCCAGCTCAGCCTTCATTAGCAGAAGCTGATCTTCCTTTGTTTTCTTGTGTATGCCTCTCAGATTTTTCAAAAAGAGAGGATAAAAACCCAACCTGTCCTCAGAAAAACCCTAGAAAATTGATGGCCATTCAAGGAGAACAATTTGATATGGTCTATCTGGGTTTAGCCACCCCATTAGCCATGGGCAGCTCCACTGCTACTGCCAACGCAGTTGCTGGGAGCAAGAAAAATACCCAGGAACTCACTGGTTAGCTCACATGCTAAACTTTTGAGCACCCAGCCACTCAACATGGAGATAAAGATTCTTCACACCATCACCCAGTTCAAGCACCATCCAGCCTCCCTGTCCCTCAGGCTCTTGGTTCACCTGAGCTCCAGCACCTGGCTGGTACTCCATACTGCTACCAAAGGAGCTTTGCTGAGACTATTAAAAGAATTCACCTAAACAGTACGAACTGCTCTGGTAAAAAATAAACAAATAGTAAACAATAGATGCATTTTGCAGGGTAACTGTATGAGCTCAAACATCAAAGCATTAGCTATTTTCACCAACACATCTCCTCATATTAAAGTTAAAACAAGAGTAATGTCTGCCACAAATCCCACCGCATAAATTTCATATGTATTGAAATACAGCAGGGACTAGATACTGCAAGATACTGAGCATGCTACAAACTCTTTGAAGCCTCTGGGAACTGGGAATGCTTATTCCAAGGACCAGTCTTTCAACAACCACAAGAGGAGCAGTTCATATTTTCAGGATTTACAATAACAAACGACATGTTTGCTGGTTGTTTTTTCTTCTTTAAACAGCTGCCCATTATTAATCACTCTACCCACAATTCCCAGATGACTAAGAAACGCACGCTACAAAAGATTTTTAAAAGTCTGCTTCAAGGGCTGCAAAGCACTCGGCTGCAGTCTCCACAGCAGAGGCTTTGAAGTCAGCCCCATGGACTAACAACTTCTGACATTTGGGAGCTGGCATAACACTGGGTACATGGAGGGGTGGAGATCTGCAAAATGTCACATGACAAAGTCGAAGAGACCATGACTGGGAGGTCACAGAGCCTGTAAAAATTATTATTTCTGTTCAAAACCATCATCTCTTTAATATAAATGAGATATTTAATGAAGTTCCAAATTGTAGACTTATCTCTCCCAGTTTGATAAGCACTGGGGAGATTTACTGCATCAGAGGGTCAACACAATTACAATTGGAGGCACGTCAAGCTGCAGGAGAATAATAAACTTGCGGTGCAAGTGAATTAGACTCAATAAGGCTTAAATTGTGAAATGAGGATTTGTTTTATTAGTTTTTTAAATTGCAGATTACAACTGACAGCTTTACTGAAAAGTAAATTAAACAATATTTGTAGCCTCTGTTATAAAGGAATCTAAGGCAAATTCAAAAAGAATAGAAATGTTAAATTTTGAAACACTGTAAGAAAAAAAGCACAGCAACATTAGACAGCTTGAGAGCTTAAACTTGCATGATAAAGGCATTAAATTACAAACTAACCTTTATTTCACTGCCTTTAAATAAGGTGTGAAAATATCAAAGTGCTTTGGGATTTATTCTTCCAGTGCTATATTGATGACTTTATCGAACAAATGTCCAGCTTTTAGTAAACCACATCGCACAGTCCTTCTTTATGTGACAAGCCATCAACTTTTAAACTCATTTGTAGGAAAGTCTCAAGAGATTTTAAGAAAGATACTGACAAGAAGAAAGCCCTGAATCAGAGAAATACATATACATTCACTCCTGGTACAGCTGTAAAGTAGAGGGTAAATAAAAGAAATAGCAAGAGCATTGTGTTTAGATGGCTGTTTTTTGTAAATCCAATCACATATTTTATCATTTTCACAGGGAAAACTTTTTTCCATTTCTAGTTAGCATCTCAAAAGATGGGTTTAAACAAAGGCATCAATAGCCAACCACACAAATATTTTACAAAAGCTACAATGCCATTTATGAAGTAGCAAAAATCAAAGAGGAGTTACAAAACTGGCTTATACACACACACACAAAAAGTCTTTCCCTTACATTTAAGAGAAAGTTTGTATAAGAAAAAAATACACTGAATTTGGAAACTGTGCTGTGGGCAAGACAAAGAGACCGACAGTTCAAAACAAGATTGCAGTTCAAATAAAGACTTGTTCTGCCTGACGCTTTTCTAACAAAGAGCTTGAATTACACATTCCAGTTCCTTCCCTTAGCCAGTATCAGTGCTATCCAGCATAATTTAATTTGATTAACTGATAAAGAGTAGGAAATATAAGCAGAGATGTACGAATTCCTGACCTTCACTAAAGGCTTGGCAAGGAAAGCAAGCCAGGCAGCAACTGGCCACTGTCCTTCACATCGAAAGCTGCCCCTAGCAGGAGCACTTCTTGGTCTGACAGTTCATGGACTGCTTGAGGCTTGACAGAACCACCAGATATTACCTAGCCCATCCTGTTTCTCAAAGCAAAGTCGGCAAGACCATGTTGCTTAGTGTCTTGTCCAGTTGGTTTCTGAATCATCCAGTTGGCTTCCAAGGACAGAGACTCCACAACCTCTCCGGATAACCTATGCCAGTGGTTAATCACCCTCAAAATATTATTTTTTTTTACGTTTAAAGAAATTTCTTGTATTTCAGTTTGTGCTCGTTGCTTCTTGTCCTGGCACTGAGTGATCTGAGAAGAGTCTGGATCAGTCTTTATTCCCCCTATTAGATATTTATAGACACTGGTAAGATCCCCCTGAGCCTCCTCGTCTCCAGGCTGAAGAGAGTTTCCTCTTTGGGACCTTGCAGTGATCTATAATAAATTATGATTTTCATGAAAATGCAATAAAACGTCAGATGCTACAGATTGCCTGTAGCTCGTTTTCTCCCCATTCTCTTAAAATAAAAATAGAAACAAGAAATATATATGTATTTATTATGTGTGTTGTTGTTTTTTTTTTAAAAAAAGGTCTCTACCCTGGCCCTTTGTCATTAAGATAAGAACCAGCTGTTTGCTAAAGCACTGTCTGTACTAACTAGCCCAGCTGCTGCTTATCTCGATGATAAAAGGACAACTAACACCACTATCCGTCCTATCTGAAGCTATGCACATAAATATGAAAAAGTTTATGCACAAGAATATTGCCAAAATATTCTAAGCATAAACACATTTGTGTTTTGGCTTTTTTGGGATTTTTTTTGTTTGTTGGGGTTTTTTTGTTTGTTTTTTTTTGTTTGTTTGGTGTTTTTTTTAATGAAACAATAATCAGAATCCCTTTTTCCTTCAAAAAGTAAATTATCCAAATGCTGGCATGCATGCATTATGGATTTTAAAGAAGTCAGTATGCAAATGTGCTATATATTACACTGCATCCATGGTACTGGGTTTTCCTGTCATACAGAATTTTTCTCCAGGCTTAATTTTTCCTTTCTTGTCTGTGTACTGTGCCTAAGATGTCCAAAATGTTTCAAGCTTCCTTTTTCAACTGAGATACTTTTACAGTACTGCTACCAATATTAAATCTGGTTTTCTTTATTCCCACCCAAATCGGGATCCTGCTTTAGGAAAAGACTTTGCAAGACATAAAAATGTAAGTAAATAGCCAGTAAAAGGGTCAGGTTTGACTTAATGCACAGTCATGGAGTAGTAAATGTAAAATTCGTACAGTGTTTATAAGAAATACTTTATCCTTGTTCTGACAATGTTAAATTAAAGGAGAAGACAAAAAATGCTTTCAGAGTGGTGGAAAGGAACCCACACAACTTTTCAAAATGTAGTTAGATGGTATGTTATAGGGTATGGGCAGGAACCTAGGCCAAGATGGAGCTTCTAAGTTCACATCAAAGACAGAAAACAGATAAAGGAGAAAAAAGTGCGTAAAAATAAAGAGACAGGTAGAAAGGCAGAACAGATGATGCAAGATACTACAAAATAGAAAACCATGTACATAGTTTCCCAACAATTAACTTCTAAAAATTTTTCTTGTGATGTTTACTATTAGTTTATCTAAGTACATTGAAAATCATTAATCAAAAAGAAAACCAGAGTTCTAAAAGGAGACTATTAATAAGTCA